AGGGCACCAGCTTCCAGGAATTTCTCTGAAGGAACAGTGATGAGCTGACTGTAAAAATCCTGTTCAGGCTCCAGAGTCCAAGTATCCCCCCAGCCCCCCATCCTTTGTCTCTGCTTCTTGGCTGCTCTCCCAAGTGCTCCTTCACCGTTCCCTTTCCTCCCTGGCGAGTTACGGTGTTATTGTTCATTCCCCCTTTTCATGCAGAGGGCTTTGGGCTGTGGTTGTGGGTCAGTGAGGTTGGTGGGGAGGCCCTCCCCGTGCCCTTCCCTTGCCCTCCTCGTGCCCCACTGGCTCTCTCTTCCCCACACAGCCCCACGAGCAAGCCACACTTGTTGCAAGAGAGCTCACTCTCCTTCTGGCCAGTCGCCCGCCCTTTCTGGCTAACTGACTCCTCTCTGGGAGCTGGTGCAAACTTGCAGACCCAGGAGAAAACCTGTCCCTCAGTTTTCATCTTTTTTTAATAGAGTTGGTGGGTTTTTGTTTGTTTGTTTTGCTGGTCTCCTTGATGTCTTGTGGGTGTCAGGCTGGTCCCAGAGCTGGCTGGACGCAGCCACCCTGGGTGATGTGGAGCCATTAGAGCGATGGGGCCTTTCCATCAGCGTCACCTTTTGTGCCAACCAGAGCATCTGCCTGAGCTGTCTGCTCTGTGGCAGCAGGTGAGAGCGTTGGGTGGGCTGAAGGACTTCTGGTCCTGGTGAGCTTCCTGACCTGGCTGGTAGCGCTCTTCACTGGGAGTTACCAGCACAAGAACAGTGGCAGGTTTCAGCCTGGCAGAGGGAAATGCCACATGGTGGTGGCCTGACTGGTCACTGCAGGGGCCTTGGCCATGGCCTGGCTCCTACTCTGTGAATAGAAGGGGATTGCAGGACTGTCCTGGCTGAGCTCTCCGCTTGTTGTCTTTTGTTTGAGCTGAAATTCAGGTGTTTCTTTATACAGGAGCAGCAGGAGACGTTTCCACTGCAAAAGGTGTTGAAAGTGGCAAACATGGAGAAAGAGTTTGGCAACTACTTCTACCGTAAGCAGCACTTCGAGGCTGCCAAAGGCAGATACAAAAGGGTATGACAGCGGAAAAAAATGTGTTTTCCATTGTGAAAAGCTGTGAAAGCAGTGATTATGAAGTGCTAGCTCACCGTAACAAGTACAGTTTAAAGATCAAATAACTTGTTTATATTTTCCAGGCATAGTTTGTTATTTAAGAACAGGTCTTAGCCACCTGCTTTTGTGTGAGCAGCAGTGGCAAACGCAGGAGAAGGGTTGGCAGAAGCAGGCAGAACCCTTTTCCTTCAGGCTCGCTCCTTGTGGGCTCTGGCTGAGGCAGAAGAAGACATCTCAGCAGCTGTGTGAGTCCTGAGCAGTTTGCGTGGCCGACTGCTGAGCTGGAGCCTTTCGGGTCAGCGTGTGCTGGGAGCTGTTCTGCTGCAGCACAGCTGGGTGTTGCAGCAGGTGGTGAGGGATGATTTGAGAAGGAACCTAGAACCCCTCTGCTCTGGAAACAGCTACCACTGGCACACCGAGCGCTTTATTTTTTAGCCTTCCAGTTGGGAATCACAGAATAGTTGAGGTTGGTGGGAACCTCTGGAGGTTGTCTAGTACAACCTCTGCTGCAGGAAGGTCCACCACAGCAGGAGGTTGCCCAGGACTGTGTCCATTCAGGTTTTGAACATCTCCAAGGATGGAGACTCCACAGTGTCTCCAGGCAGGAAAATATTCAGTTATTCACAAACTGGAGTGCATCTGCCTTTGTTTCAGAGGTAGTGAGGTTTTGTGAGACTTTTCTTCCCTCCATTCAGAGTTGCTTTTTCTTGAATAATTTACACTGCCTTTCTCTCTGTAAGCTTTCTTTCCCATCTTTTTGCTTATCATCTGAGTCCTGGGTTTAATTTTCTTTTATTCTGCTGCTTTTAAGTTCCTTGATAGGTTCCTAAACCTGTAGCCTTCTGGCTGAGCTGGCTATTCATGCTGATAATGGCATGCAGTATTTTAGAGTTTTGATTATTTTTATTTTTAACTGACCTAGGTAAACATAAACACAAGTGTTGCTGGCTGGTTCTCACTTTCCATAACAGATTTGTTGTGCAACAGTTCTTTTTCCATGTCTGCTCAGGCGTTCTCCATCCTTGGTCGCAGCCCTTCCAGTGAGGCAGAGCGGTGTCAGGTTGATGCTTCCAAGTTGCTGGTGCTCCTGAATCTCTCACTCACTTACCTGAAATTGGAACGTCCTGACCAAGCTTTGGCATATGGGGAGAAGGCCTTGGAGATTGACCAAAGAAACGCCAAAGCGCTGTTCAGGTGTGGCCAGGTGGGCAAAAATAAATTCCTCTGGTAGCCACATCAAGGAATGCCCCAGCCTGACTGACTGTGGAGAGAACCTCAAGTGAACCGAGGAGAACCACGGAATTCTGAGCCAGGCCTCCTAAGCGGCTGCAGCAGTCGAGGTGGTTTGTCTGTGTCTGACTTTTGGAAAACCTGACTCTCTGTAAATCTGTCCCACAGATCTTCTAATGGGGGATTCCTGAGTTACCTGAGTCCGTCTCAGAAATGTTTGTGGTTGCACATGCCTGAGTCTTGAGGAATGGCAGTGAGTCTGTATTTATCTTGCGACGCATCTGTCTTCTTTCAATGGCAGGCTTGTCTCTGCATGTCGGAATACAAGAAAGCCCGGGAGTTCCTGGTCAGAGCTCAGCATATACAGCCGTTTAACCGCGATATTAACAACGAGGTGAAAAAGCTGGCAAGGTGAGGGAACTCCTTTCCATCCCTGTGAAAGAGAGAGTGCTTGGGCAGGCTGGAACACGGAACAAAAAATATTTAAAATGTTTTTAAAAAAAACCAAAACAAAACACAAAACTATTCGGTTAGTAAGTGACTTGAGAAAATGCAGAGGGTTTTTCTTACTGTGGGGACAGCTGATTCCACCATTCTGCAGACACAGCAGTGACAGATGACAGGAGAGAAGCTGAGAGCACTCATTCTTTCTGTATGGTTTCTCTGTGGGGATGTGTGTTACGCTCTGTGTGAGTAGGTGGGTCAGGCAGGGCAATGGGCTGCTGAAATGCCTCCAGACCAGTGAAATGCAGTAGGCTAGTGATTAAGCTGATAATGCTTTGGATTAATAAGCATGATTTTCATTCTCTTTGGGGTGTGTTGGTTAACTACAGCAGCTCTTCTGCACTGCACGTCCTTCAGTGTACAATGTCACAAATACTAATGTTTGTTAAAAATGAATTTCTTGCGGTCTTGGAGGCAATGAGTGAGCAATCCTGAACGCAAACTTTCCCTTCTCTGGCAGGCTGAGTACAGCACAATCCTGCCAGCTATAGTCATGCCCTAGCCCCAACAAAACATGACTAACACTAGTCTGCCTTCATTCTTTTCTTCCCTTTGAAACTGGCAAAAGCATGAGCTGGTTCCCAAAAGCGTGTGCTGTATTTCTGGCACTCTTCATGGACGCAGAAGGCGTTGCAGTCTTCAGGTTCAGAGATCACGAAGCAGGCTTTAAATATGAGCCCTCTTCTCTTGTGTGTCCCGCTAGGCATTTGCAAAAAGGTTTGTAGGGAGCAGTACCATCTCTTTTTAGAGTAGTTAGTGCTGCTGGAAAAGCCAGACTTGAGGCTGAGTGCCTTTACCAGGTCATGTTTTGTTAGGGGACTGTCCTTGCACATCAGTCTGCTGTAGATCCACATCATCTTTAATGGTCTGTGACAACACACAAGTCTTCACCTCGTTCTGTTACTTCTGAAGTACAAAGAACATGAAGGCCGTATTAGCTGCTGGTCTGGAAATCTGAAATAAGCTACTTTCCCTTCACCCTGATCTACCTCTGGGTGTGCAGCTACCAAAATGCTGGGTGAGCGTGTTAGAAAATAAATCCGGCTGGCTGGCTTAGCTGCTCCTGGAGACTTAGTATGGAGTAGTGTCACAGAGCCATGGTAGAGTGCTGGAAGTCCTCATTCTAGAAACCTCACGTGTTCCCTTAGACTTGTTCGAAATACATTGACAGGTAGAAGAAAAATCTTGCTAATAATGTTGAGGTTGTGCTGCCAGGAAGCAAAGAGGCATTCTGCCTTCAGGGAAGCAGTGGGCAGGCGTTGTCGGCTCTGACTCTGGAGAAGAGCACACACAACTAACCCGTGTGTCAGTAGGCTGAGTACACGTTAAACCGCTGTTGTTTCAGAGTTTCTGCCTCAGCATTAGTTAAAATTGGTGTATTTTTTTTTTACTATGACAAAGAGTGGATTTAGTATAAAATGATGAAGACAACATTATCGGATGTTGTTAATGATGACACACCTCAGTCTAGATCCTGTTGTTGCCAAACTGCTTTGCATGAGAAAACTCGTAATGTGATCTGGCAAATACTTCGGAAATGGAATATGCATCAAAATCTTGTTCTTAGAGGCTTTTCACTTCCTTACTGACTACCTTTACACTTTACAAAAAGGAATATTGTGTGTTAATCAACAACTACCTTTTGCTGTCTAAAACAAAATTTTGAGAAGCATGTGTTTAACAGCTGAAGTGGGTTCTTGGCATTGTTCACTTCACTGGAAAAAAACAGACAGACTCCAGGGCGAGGGTTTTGTGGAACATGTGTCTGGTACCGGCTGTAGTTGTCTTGTTGGTGCAAATTCTGCTGCTGGATTTGGCAGTTCTATTGGAAGGCTTGCACTGCATCAAATCCAGAACAAAATGGGGTTGTTCTGATACCTGGCATGAATCTGCACCGCCAAATGAGGGGCTCTTGGATTTCCTGCTGTGGTAGGCATGTGAACATGCCCTCCACAGTCTAGCTGGGCATCTCTGATCTACTCAGTGTGGACAGTTGTGGCAACATCTGTCTGCGGCTTAACAGAAGAGATTTGCTGTGCTGAGATTTAATTGAAAGAAACATGTTGAGGTTCTGGACACGGGGGCTGCAAGAACATTAACCCTCATCACACTTGTGCTGTTTCTGGTGTGTTACAACAAAACCCTTTGCTTTTCACCTTATATGGTAGCAGATGCAGGAAAGCTGACCATGTGGGCAGCCATTGATCCCTGGGATGGTGCCCAGACTGAGTCACCCTCTGGTTCAGGGATTCCTCACTGCTGAGACCTCATTGCTGGTAAGGTGAGAGCACAGGGTGCAGAGGATGCTGTGCTTGGAGAAGCAACTTTTAAAATGGAGCAGTCTTGCCATGCTAATGTGATGCTGACAGGGAAGTGAGAGTGGAAGAGGAAGCATCTGCCCTGTCATCCCCTTAGTGTGATGTCCTGCTGTCTTCTATTCAGGAATCTGCCTAGATTCAGGGTCAATGCTAGATATCCTGGAGTAGGGCACATGGACAATGTCTCCTGGTAGTTGCTGAAGGAACTTCCACAAGGAGTGGCACAGATGAGGAGACACAAAACTAGACCACAGAACACAGGCGGGGGTTCCTCTGCATTGTCACATGCTTGCTAAACTGGTGTAGAAAGCATCTGGCTTTCTACCAAAAGTCAAATTTTGTACTTGCTAATAGTCACCAGGAAAGCAGAGGCCCGAGGTCTGGGGATGAGGCACAATGTTTCCCGCTCTACTTCCCTGACATGGCAGATGGAAGGGCTTGGAGGAGCTGCGGCTGTGCTACCAGCACGCTCTTACGTGAGGCCAATTTATTTATAGAAAAAATAATACATGTTTTCTGGTTGTGGCTCTGACAGTTGGACAGGCAGTCCACAACACGTGATGCCATGCTCTGCTCTACTTTGCAGATGCTGCAAGGACTACCTGGAAAAGGAGAAAGAAATGTGCTGCAAAATGTTTGCCTCTCTCAACTCTTCTTCTGGCTGAGCAAAAATGAAGGTAATCAAGTTGTAAAAAAGGCTGAGGTCTCCCAAAACCTCTGTTGTGTCTGAACTGTTTTCAGGTGGGGAACCTGCTTCTCTTCTGTGTGGGAGGATTTTGGAAGCAAAATGTAAGGAATGGGAGTGTGTGGAGGGGAAGGAACAGGATGGTGGGGTGAAGCACTCCTACATCGTCAGCTTGGGGAACCTTTCCTGCAGGGTAAGCTGGCATGGGACAGGAACCTGAAACTGGCAGCTCTTAAGTTTGGTTTTGCTGTTTCCTGTGCTGCTCATCCCAGTTACTCTTTGTCAGAGCCAGGGGGAGAAGTAGCTGTGTACTCTTGTTTCTCTGCCAATTAAAAGAAACAAAAAAAAAAATTGTTCCTGTCAAACTTAAGAATTGGATTTCCTCCTCCCTTCCAGTGCTCCTCTCTGAAGCTGTTGGAATGCCTCCCTTCAGAAAAATCTAAATATTTTATTTCTGGGTTTTTTTTAAATATTAAAAAACCTGTTTGTATAGAAAATTTCAAATAGATGTTTTGGACTGCTTAAAGCCTTAAATCTTCTAGCAAAATTGACAGGCTTATAAATGCACAAAGGCTCTTTGATCATTCTTTTTTTTTTTTCTTTTTTTTTTTTTTTGTCAAAACCTTCAGGAGAGGTGTAAGGGGGAGTGGAAATCTTCGCTGGTCTCTTGCCTCAGGGTAAACCCTAGGGAGAGAGTTGCAGAAAATGACAGCAGCTTTCTGTCAGAAAGCATCACCAGCTCAGGGCTGTCAGTTTGTTGCTGTTCTCTGTCACACAGTACAGGCAGTACCTCTTCCACTTGTAGAGAGTGAGTACTGGCAGCCTTTCCGTTAGGAGCAGTGCGAGTACAGGATGCAGGTCTGGTATTTTAAGGTTGGCTCTTTTGTCTGTGCTTGTGAGGAAGCTAAGGTACTGTTTGAGGAAGGGCTTTGATTGAAAGACAGCTTCCTAAAGACACGCAACCCTCTTCTGGCTGGATGTGCCCCCCTGCTGTAGTCCTCATCACCCCTCCCACTGTCCCCGTGCCCCAGTCTGAGTTGGTACTAAACTGCCTCCGAGCACAAATTCTTCTGCCCTGGGTTCGGGTGAGACTGATCATGTCTGTTAGCAGGTACCTACCCCTGGGCAAGTAGCCACAAAAGGGGATTTAAGACTGGAGCAGTCTTGCCAGCATGTGCAGGAAGTCTGTGGCTCTGGGCTTGGCAAGGAGGCGCTGATTCTCCACTTGCTGAATTTCAGAGACTTGCAAGTTTGGAAATCTGGTCTGACAGTAGTACGTAACGGTGTCTGACCTGGGAAACTTTGTGTTCTGTGCATCAGCTGGCCCTGCTTTGTGGTGGGAACTCTGAATGAATGTGGTGGTCTGCTGGGTTGCCAGACAGGTCCTCCACTGGTAAAGTTGTATGACCTCTTATTTCCCAAAATGCGGCTTGCAAAGATGCTGATTTCCACACAGTTGGTGTAATGGCACATGGTTATTGTCGTAGATAAAACAGTGTCTTCAGTTAGTGGAGACAGAAGTGCAAAGGGGAAGGGAAAAGAGAAACTTCTGCTGGAGGCAAGCTTAAAGATTGGGCTGAACTGTTCGTTAGCCAGAGTTTCTCCACAGACTCTACTGATGCACTTGTACAGTACTTTCCTGGAGTTCTCCCACCTTACACAGCTGATGGACAGCTGTCAGTCTAAAAGATTTCTAACCTTTGAAGTTGATTTTAATTACACTATTAAAAGTAAACTAAGTCTTCCAAATAAACATAAATCACTGAGACCTACACAAGAATCTGCTGTTAATTCATTGCAAGAAAAATCCCTTGCTGGAGGAGGTTCTTGCAGGACAGAGCCTTGTGCTAGCTGGAAGTTGGTTTGCTGCTGCATCTTGCTTAAAAACTTCATTACATATTCAGAGAGGAGCAAAGCAGTTCCGACTGGAGCTCCTACTCTCTGTCAAAGGAACTGCTAATTAGTCAGACTTCAGGCAGAACATTCTTTGGTATTTTCTGCGAACTTTGTACAAGTTCAGTTTGGGGCACAAGCTGTACTCAGTCAGGCTGGCAGGCCTGCTTCATTCTTTCTGTCAGGCACTGAGCGAGTAGATGGCCTGTGAACGCTGCCTGTAGCTCATGTTTAATGATCCAGTGGAATCACAACAGTTATGGAAAACTTCACTTCGTGCCAGTGTTGACCTGCCAGCTTACCAGCTAAATGACTCAGAGCTGTGGTTGTGGCATTTTCTCTCTCCTAAAACACTGCTACATCTATCCCCTGCTTCCGAGCTCCTTCCCAGGTAGGTTTGCTGTAACTTTTGACGAGTTCTGCAGAAGTTGCTCTGTTACAGGGACAAATACTTCATTTCTCTCTACTGAATAATCCAGGGCTTTGTTGTATGTTTTGCATAATGACACTCAAACCCAGACACACTTGAGTATCCTCATTCTGCAGAATTTTGTATCCCTATCACTGTAGACTCCAGTTCCTCTAATTGCCACAAACAACATCTTGCTCAGAACACAGATTCTTCCCTTTTAACAGAGTTTCAGGTCAGAATAAATCTTCTCTTTGGTGAAAAGCAAGGCCACTCATGATGCTTCCTGGAAGAATTCACAAATACTCAGAGACAGAAATAGACGCACAAACACTTTCTCAAATCCATCCTGCTGCATTTCCTTGCAAACTCAGTGGCTGGGGTCTCATGATTGCCTCTATGTGAGTTTGGGTTATTTGCCTGCCTCTGTATGCTCGGTGTGGTGCAGACGTGTTGAGCCAGGTTAGCTGGGATGTGCCTAGCTGAATGTCCTCCTCAGTGTCCCCTAAATTGTAGGATATCGAATGGGTTATTGGAGCTTTTTGTTCTTTCTTGTTTGAAAGAAATTTCTCATCACTGTGATCCTTCATGATAAGAGAATTTAATCATGAGGAATGGGGGCAAATTCCCTAGAAATGTCTGGATTCTAGTAGAGGGTCCCTGCTGATAGTTTGATCCCAGAAAGATGGGTCTCTGAATTTTTTTTTTTTTATTATAGGTGAGCCAAAGTTGAAAGCTTGCCTGTAATGTGTATCGGCTCAATACACAGAAGTGGTTTTAGTAGTTGAGAGCACACAGGGAAGTGTTTCAGTGAAAACAAACAATGCTGGTATATAGCAGGAAACTATGACTCTGAGGTCAAACTTAAGATTGCTACGAATAGCAGGGTCTAGCAATTCTGAAGGCATTAATTGGTGAGAATTGGCTGCAGAACTGGGGCTGTGTCGCCAGGTAGAAGTGACTATAATTGGTCTTAAAATCAGCAGCAGTTGCCAGTTAAACTGACTTAATAAACTGAAAGACTTGCAAATAAACTGAGAAGTATCTGCATACCACAGTCAAAACTCCTACCTTGGGAAGGCTCCAGACTTGGAGTAAACAGCAACTTGCTGCTTCCCCTCCTGCTCTCCCTTATTACTGAGCAGATCTAAAATGTGCCTCCTGCTGATGCTGTCCCTACCCACTGCGTAAAGCTGAACAACAGAGAACCAGCAATTTCATTTCTCCTTTAGAATATGCAAATTATTGTACCACCAAGATGTCCTGTGCTGTGAAAGAAATTGTTAAATATCTGCTTAATGCTGAGCCTTGCTGGAGTGAGTGGGAAGGCTTGAAGGATGACTTAATTAAGCATTCTCCTTGCTAAGCAGAGGAAGGAGAAAAGCTTTAATAAGGCTGTTGGGTTGGCTTTTTTTTGTTTGTTTGTTTTCCCTCCAGCTCTCTCCTCTTGTAGTTTTTTGTTGGTTTTTTTGTTTTGGTTTGGTTTTTTTGTTTTTTGAGGAGCTCTGCAGTTCCTGCCTGCCGTAGTGCCTGTAATACCTTTCTGGAAGACTGATGGGCTCTGATCTCTTTTAGAAACTGTCAGTGGAGAAGTGACTGTACCACTCTGCTTAGGGATGCCATGACGTGCATGCTTCCCAGTCAGGTGTAGTGGACATGGGTCCCTGGTTTGAATGCACTAGGGATGGCTTTGGCCAGACCAGGAGGTCCAGTCTGGGTTTAGAAGTGAGAATCATAGAATCATAGACCTTTGTGAGTGGGAAGGGACCCACAAGGATCATCCAGTCCAACTCCTGTCCCTGCACAGGACAATCCCAACATTCACACCATGTCCCTGAGGGCCTTGGCCAAATGCTGCTGGAATCTTGTCAGGCTTGGTGCCATCAGCCCCTCCCTGGGGAGCCTGTTCCAGTGCTCCACCACCCTCTGCCTCAAGAACCTTCTCCTCATGGCCAACCTCCCCCTCCCCTGCCACATCTTCCTGCCATTTCCTCTGCTCCTGGCATTGGAGGCCAGAGAGAAGAGATCAGTGCCTGCCCCTCCTCTTCCCCTTGTGAAATGGAAAGGAGGGACACCCATGCAGTATCTCTGTGCCCTACCATGCCCATTCTCCAAGGCATTGGTGAGGTGATGGTTCTCGAGCCTCATCGGAGGGCTGTCTTGGGGCCCAGCCCAGGACCATCCTCTCTAAGAGCCCAAGGTTCCCCTTCATGTGCTCACGTCCAGGTGAGGTAGGAGTGGGTTCCTGGCTGCGTTTCTCCTCAAGCTCCTGTCTGCTTGCCTGAGGCCACCCAGCACACTTGAGTCCTGGAAAGGACAGGCTGAGCCCCCAGTGAATTCCCCTGTGTGGGCTTCTGGTTCTCAGAGCTTTTGCCGGCAGCTGGCAGATAAAATATGTTCCTGTTACAAATCAGTGGAAAGTAAAAAAGCTGCTGGGCTCTTATCATTCCCATGATAATACTTGGTTTATCATGCAGGTAGAGTTTAAAGAGAATGGTCTATGTGTAAGATGTGAATTTCTTTGTGAAGAAAGTTTTAGTTTTGCAGAGCAGTCAGATTTACTGGCCTTCATTTCCAGCAGCAAGGATACACATGGTTATTTTAAGGTTTGCTCTGAAGTATTATTTTTAAAGTCTCTTTCCTCCACTCCTCGTGTTTCAGTTGTGATAAGCTGTATG